ATTCACCTGTGTATGTAGGTCAGGGGTCACTGAGCTTACCGAGCCAATTTCAGTTACAATAATTAGTTCTACAGGTTTTGGAATCAATAAAATGACAACAGTGCCCAAATTTATGCACCTGCCTGATTTTGTTTAAACGATTATTGCACACTTTCTGTAAATCCAATAAACTTAATCTCACTTCTCAAATATCACTGTGTGTGTCTCCTATATGATATGTTTAACAGACATTTTTTTATTGTATAAACCAACGATTTATACAGGAAAATAATGACTATTAACAAGTTTGCCTAAACTTTTGCATCCCACTGTACATGTGAATAGACATGTATTTTCACTGCTATGCAGATCACACACAACATTATGTATAAGCCAGATAACACACACCAATTACTGTAGTTTTGGACCCAGATTACCCCGTGAGGCTCCTGACTACTGTAGCTGTAATACATCAAGCGGTGTGGCTTCGTAGCTTACCAAAGTCATACTAAAATGGCCTGTATTTGTATAGCACTTTACTAGTCCCTAAGGACCCCAAAGCGCTTTACACAAGCAGTCATCCACCCGGTGAGGCTGCCGGACACTGGCGCCACCGGGCCCTCTGACTACCACCAGTAGGCAACAGGTGTAGTGTCCCCAAGGACACAACGACCGAGACTGTCCGAGCCGGGGCTCCAACTGGCAACCTTCCGATTACAAGGCGAACTCCCAACTCTTGAGCCACGATCGCCACTAAAACACTTTTGACAGATTTTTGAGTGCTGTGTACCACATAAAATGGGTTTGAGGTCAGTAAGCACAACCAGAATTCATATATAAGGTGCACCGGATTATAAGGCACACTGTTGATTGTTGAGAAAATAAACGATTTTAAGTGCCCCTTATAGTGCGGAAAATACGGTTGTTAAACTGCAGGAATGTCTTAAAGACCTGGATGACCTCTAATTTTCTGGTAGTCGTTGTACTTTCTGGTACTCTACTCTCTACTCAAAGCCTTTGAGCGGATGTTCTTTTGATTGGCTAAGTCCCGGTGACGTTTGGTGAGTCTTAGCTTTGGACCAGCAGCTGTTACCTTTACATGATTAATTTGAACCTTTGCCCATAATTAGAATAGAATAGAATAGAATAATCCTTTAATTGTCCCACAAGGGGAAATTTGGTTGTAACAGCAGCCAAAAAGACAAATATACAAACAAACAGTACACAGGACACGGAAAAGAAACATACACAATTTTTCTTACATATTTACATTACATACTAACCCCTAACCCTAATTACCAGGAACATTTGACAGTAACATATAAATAGCATGGTAAATGGGAAGAAAATTTCCAATTGAAATCTATTAATAGTAAAACATTTAAGAAACTCACGACTGTGGACATCCGGCATACTCTGCGTGTCATCATCACGCCCACCTGAAGCACCAACACAAGTTGTCTGTTAGCGTGTAACTTCAATAAAACCCTAAAAAGCTCACAGTTGACTCATTATCTCTGAATTCTTTAACATAAGGCAAACTCACCTTCTCCGTTCAGCCTCTTGTACAATGACCTCATCACTTTGGCACTACCAAAGCGTTTGAAACGGTTTCTCACGTTGTCATGGTACCAGCCCAGAGTCCCGATCTTGAGCACCCTGAACAACACAAGTGCAGAATATAGAGAATATAATAAACATCTACCATAAAAGAAACTACCATGACCACCAAATAACTCTGAGCTTATGCTGACGCAGTGCTCTCCGCTGCCGGAGGCTCACCTGTTCATGCGGCAGTTGTCGCACACCCAGCCGTGCTCCTTCTTGTTGTAGCGGCTGCAGGACTTGCAGGTGTACATGCGACAGTCCAGACACTGGCGTTTGCTGTTCACCAGGAACTTGAAGGGCTGCAGGCAGCGGATACAAAGCGAGTCGGACAAGTTGCTCTGAGAGCCCAGCAGTTCTCGTTTTGAGTCCTCCTTCTCAATCTTATTCTTCAGCTCACTGCAAAAGACATGAAAAGATAGTCCCCGAGTTTATCATGGAGTAGAGACCTTGAGGTTTGGAAACTTCACCAAAAATAGCTCCAGCTCCCTAAACAAATATAACAAATGAACATAGATTTCATAAAATTAGAACACTCTGACCAATCCAAGGAATGCACAAACAACTAAAACCATAACAGAGAACTTCTTGAGGAATTTTGAGGATCTGAAGGAAGACCTGATGATGAAGATCTGGAAGATCAAACACTAGAAACAAAGGCATTGACATGTCGTTTCTCAAGAACAGTGTGGTGATGGATTTGCTTTCCAGGACAAAGAGTAGGTAAATCTGTGTTTGAGATGTTTGGCTATGTTTGGTTTGTGCCTATCTTTATTCAATCAGGCTCGTGATCAGAGTAAAGCACCAAAGGATCAAACCTCAGCAGCATGCTCCACAAAAACGGGAAAGGTCGGCTGATGCCAAATATCCAAAGGTCCAGATCACAAGGTGCAAACAACAACTCAAATTCCACTCCAGGTGATCTTATAGAAACCTTGAACCTCGCTGACAGGTACAATAAAAAACAAAGGAAGACGAACCAGAACCAAGGAGCTGATTCCCTCTGGAGATGGAGCTACCATGGACTGTTGGATGAAGGTATTAATTATTAAACTGATAAAAAAAACCAACGTGAGACTTCGGTTCTTTACATTTTCACAGAGAAGAGAGGGAACAGCAGTCATAAAGAAGATAAATGACCAATCTGTGACTCACCCACAGCCCCTCAATAATTGGCTCTGAATGAATCGTGTGTTCTCCCTGCTTCTTGTGATCCATCCCTTTAGTAATGTCCACATGGAGGCCCACCAGCCTCAGACTGAGAACCATGGAGGGGCTGAGCCACAAAAACCTTCAGAGTATGTGACGACCACAACTGCAAGTCAGATCTGTTTATCTGGCAATGGGTCACAGGGACAGGAATGGAGAGAGACCTCCCTCTCTGCCACCACCAACCACTAGCTTATCTGGAGTAACACAGAGGCCTTCCCAGGCCAGCCCAAGGATCTAATCTCTCCTGCTGTCCCGGATCTACATCAGGCCTGCTACTCCTGGTAGGAGCTGGCAGTGTGCTCCTTTTGAACTCTAGTCCAAATCCCTCCCAAGAGTCTGAACTTCTCACCTGCCAGTTTATCAGTCCACAGTATAAAAAAAGTCTTCTTACAGATTTCATTTTGGCTTCTTTCATAGTTTTAAATGTTGAATTCTGATCAGTTTTTATTGATTTCTCGGTTTGTTTTGTATGCTTGTTAAAGGATGAAGATGACAACATGTTCCTGATGATTTTTCTCCAGTCATGAGTCCCTGTGAGGCTGCTCCCTCCCCCCGGGGGCTGATGGGAGTTGGAGTGTTTGGAGGAGACACAGAGCGTCTTTGTGAGGCAACTCCGTGTGACCGGGGCGTGATCGAGTGCAACAACAACAACGTCTTTCACGCTGGAATTCCTGCAAACTTCACATGAACGAAAACAGTTCAAACTCCAGGACTCACACAAAGTTTAGCTTCAGAGTCACAGAGAGAAAGTCTGGGAAAGTCTGGGGTTTATCTAAGATACAGGTAGTGGACTCCAGGCCTCGAGGGCCGGTGTCCTGCAGGTTTTAGATGTGTCCTTGATCCAACACAGCTGATTTAAATAGCTAAATGACCTCCTCAACATGTCTTGGGGTTCTCCAGAAGCCTGTTAATGAACTAATCATTTGATTTAGGTGTGTTGACCCAGGGTGAGATCTAAAACCTGCAGGACACTGGCCCTCGAGGCCTGGAGTCCCCTGATCCAAGACTTAAAAATAGCAACTCTGAGAGGAAAGCATGCCAAAAACAGCTCAAAATTCACTGAGGGAATGTCTGAAGATCATTTCAGTTTGTTTGTTTTTACTGTGTTTACTTTTGTTTCACTAACCTGACAACATATTTGATGCTTAATCAGTTTTAAAAAGGACTTAATTCACTCTCTGATTCTTTGTACATTGATTGAGTTTTGATTTGCCCGTTTTTTGCCCAATTTTTAATAACACTGAATACAAACAATATTCAAACTTCCATTAAAATGTGTAGAAGCTTCAAAGCATTTTTGTATTTATTTTGTTGTATTTCTGCAGCAAGAATTTTCTGTGTGCTATTATTAATGCTGATATTTCAGCTTCAGTTTGAAAAACACCCTGAAACTTTAGTAATGTTTCTGATATTTGTACATGAAAACTCTGAGTGTGGGAACGAGTACCTGAGTCTCTCTTCTTCTTTCTTGCGGAGGTTGAAATCTCGTTGAATCACTTCCCAAACATGTTTGGCCTCTTCATCCGTTAGACGGGAAAGATCCAGCTTATGCTCCATGACACTAAAGGAATCAATCAATCAATCAAAAAAACAATCAATCAAACAGTCATATGAGGTGGCAGTTGTTCTTCAGGGTTTCGTTGTTGGTCCTCTGCTTTTAGTAACAAGGTTTTCTTTTTTTTAAGTTGTATAACTTGTTAAAATGTAAGGATATTCTAGAAATACTTGAAGTAATGAATAAAATATTTTAGAAAAATATAGTGCATATATAATACTTTGATAATAAAAGCATGAAAAAGACAAAAGTTTTCAGATTAAAAAAACTTTTCACTTAACAAATCTTTAGAACCAGATTTTGTGATAACACATTTTAGACAAACAAAATGAAGGTTTTATAATTCAATATAATGAGAAATTTGAAAAAGATATCTTAATAAATAAATAGTAAATTCCTATTAAAGCAAGAAGCTGGAAATATTTTTAAGCAACATATTTTTTCAGGAAAACCCCCAATATATTTATGAAAAAGCTATAATACTTTGAGGCAAAAGAACATCAACATCATCAAACTGATATGAAAAAATATAATTATTAGAAAAACAATGATAATAAATCCACAAACACCTCCGAGTCTGTCGATCCACCCGCAGCTCACAAAGGTATCATGGGCAGATCACATGACATATATTGTTTAATTAAATATATGTATAACTATGTATTGAGCATTTTTTAAAGTAGGCAGATCATTTGGACCTGATCATTTTAGAAGCTATAAAGCTGCTGGCACCCCTGCTGTAAAATAATAAACAAAATAAAGTAAAAATCAAAAATTAGAATAAATACTTTAAAGTTTTCTCTTGAATGTGTATTGTTATTTTTTCCATAAGTATTTGGTTTGTTTTTTAATTAAATTTTTTTTAAAAACCCATAAAAGAAAATGTATTTTTTGTTGACACAACTCACAATTTCAAAAAGATTAAGCTTGATTTTTTCTCCAATTATAAATGATCAGATTTGAGGATGTCCAGCTGCTGAAGTGTCTTTTACTTTGAAACATATGAGATGAACATGGTTCAGTGTCAGCTGCTGGTCTGTCACCACACCCACAGACTAAACTCTCACTAAATTTAAACCTCAATCTGCAAAAATATTTACAATAAAAGACTTTCCAAATAAAAGTCAGCCAGGCTAAAAAAATAATTTACTGTTTATGTGCCTTCAGAATAAAAGCCTGTCCGCAGTATGAAGTTAAATAAAGACAACTCAGTGAGCGCTGTGTGATATGTTGTGTGAGACAGAGGCTTCATTCAAAGCTCAGATTAGATTTAAAAACTAATTTGTTTAAATTTAAAGTTTATAAATGAGATTAAAATTCAGTGAAAAACAGTAAAAACTCACCCGATGTGTGTCTGCAGCTCAATGATGAGATGAGCGAAACTGAACTGAGAACCTCAGCTGATCACATGACGACACCTCTTGACACAGACACAGACACACACACACACACACGCACACACACACACACACACACACACACACACACACACACACACTGTAACACATCTGCAGGCTAAACTTTGAAAAACGAAATCAGACATCCACAGTGCAGACGACAAACATCAGGGACACAAACTGAAATTAAAAGTGTGACAAGTGTGAAGCATTCAGAGTCAAAGCTCAGTTTGTCCAACAGCAGGTCATGAGACCTGAGATCATTTGACATCATCAAACGCTCAGTGAAGACTTTTATTCTGACATCGAAGATATGACTGAACACACATTAGATATTAAGACTTAATACTAGATATAATAAATACAAAAACAACTTATTCTGAATGAACTTGAGCGTATTTATCTTTAATAATAATAAATGTGACTGTAAGCCACTTACAACCATAAATACACATGATATGGAGAGAATCTGATAATGTTGTTGATAATAATTTAATGTCTTATAACATGATGTCATAAAATCACAAGGTGTTCTCTCTTGGCTCTCGGCGAAGGTGGTCACACTTTTCTCCTCTCCTCCTCTCCCTTAGTTTCCCTGCTTAGCTCTTATGCCCTCATCTAGTCTCGTGTTTTTTGTGTTACTTTTCCCTGAACACTCTCGCACAGTCTGTTCTCTAAAACCTAAAAGAGAATTATGGATTCAATCAACTGGTCCCTGAATGCTATTGACACCCTTTTCTCAACGAGAAGTCTGGGCTCGGGAGAGCCTGAGTTTCCTGGAGGTACTTTCCCTGCCAGATACACGATGGACGGGTGGCAGCAATGGAGAATCGTGTGTCTGGCGGGACTGTCGATGGAAGACGCTGAAGATATCTACCTATTCTGAACCATGGTAACAGGGTTCTGGCTTATAGGAGCTGGCTTGGCCCTGGCTTATCGAAGAATTAAGAAAGCGGAACCAGCTGTTCAAACCCCCACAAGGCTGACACTGGGATTGAAACCAGTGAGAGACCAGTGTCGGACTGTTAAAAACAGCTTGAAATTCTCATGAGTTGTTCGCACTAAAGAAGAAAAAAGCACCATCATAATGTGGCTATCCCTTCAGTGCCAGCTGTGGGCTCAAGTCTGGAGCTGAACAACAACACCCTGATAACGACTGTGTTTAGACTGTTCTTCCCATCCCATGCAAGGCCACCTGGGTTGGCTGGAGGACTGTTTACTTAGGCTGGCAGGGCGAAGGACACTGTCTCAGCTGAACTCTGGACACACATACACTGATAGGCACTCACTCATCCCCCCTCCCTTTCCAAACGCCTTCGATGTTTGTTCCCTCCTGGAGAACACGGCGGGTCTGGGCCCACGCGGGAATGGTTGCGCTGGGCAGGATGGCTGCTGTGTTTGCCTCGGATTACTCCTCATCCCCTACCCAACCCTGTTGCTGGTCACGTGCTCTATAATGTTGTGCTGTGGACATTTATGTGCTTTTTGTGAAGAGGAGTTTTTTTGCGTCCTGTTCTCATGCTGTCCTCCCAGGAGCTCAGCATGGGTAGAGGTCTCTTTTTCAAATCAAATTCAAATCAAATTCAAATTCAAATTCAAATTTTATTTGTCACGTACACAGTCATACACAGCACGATATGTAGTGAAATGCTTGGACAACTGCTCGTGACCTAAAGAAAACAAAAAAGGAAAAGGCTCTGAATAAGATAGGAAATAAATATGAAAAATTAAAAAGGGTAAATTTTACTAGGAAGGAATAAAATATAAATTAAAGTTGAAAATAAAATAACTGTACAACACAAATTAGAATGAAGGATAAATTTAACTGGGAAAGAATAAGATAAAATATATAAATTAAAGTTGAAAATAAAATAACTGTACAACAAAATACACAATATAGAACTATATAAGAATGTATGAAGAAATATAAATATAAATAAATATATACACAATAACAGCAGCTGTACTAAGTATTAACTGGAAATGAAGAATATAGTGACCAGTGTTGTGCAATCCACATTATGTCTTGTGCAGTGCAAATATGCTTAAAGTGATTTAAGTGATGAAGTGAAAACAATGTCCAGAAAGTCCAGTGTGTGTAAGAACTGTATGTGTGGGTCAGTACTGTGTGGTGGTGTGATTGAGAGACCGTATCGCCTGCGGGAAGAAGCTCCTCCTCAGTCTCTCTGTGTTGGTCTTCAGGGAGCGGAATCGCTTTCCTGACCTCAACAGAGAGAACAGTCTGTTGTTGGGATGGCTGAGGTCCTTCACCATCTTCCTGGCCTTGGTCCAGCACCGCCTGCTGTAGATTGAGTGCAGGTCAGGGAGCTGTTGTACTTTCCCATTGTAGTGTACATTTCTGTACTGCAACCGATCTCCAACCTGTATCCCCATGTGATGTCTGTGTTGTGTGTGTAAGGTCGGGGGGGGGGGGGGTCCCATTTCACTGCAGGCCAACCTGCATGTGCTGAATAAAGCCTTGATTGATTGATTGATTGATTGATTGATTGATTGATTGATTGATTGATTGATTGATTGATTGGAACTTTTTTCCCAAGTAAAAAGTTTATTGTCAGACTTTATGCGTCACTGCTTTAGCATCACAGACTGGGAAGTCTTCCGGACTGCCGCGAACAACAACACCAACAATTATGCTGAGTATTCTTAAATGCATCAATGACGTCGTACTGCAGGCTGTTGTACAAACTTACCCTAACCAAAAGCCGTGGGTTAACAGAGAGGTCCGCGCAGATCTACAGATGATGCAATAGCAGTTGCACTTCACACCACCTGCGACAGACTGGCGACCTGTCCAGGGGGTACCCCGCCTCTCGCCCTATGGCAGCTGGGATAGGCTCCAGCGCCCCCCGCGACCCTGAAAAGGATAAGCGGAAGTGAATGGATGGATGGATGGATGAACCCACAACACGATTCATAAAGATTTAAAATCAGTGACCTAAACACATTTAAACATTAAAAACAGTCTTATTATCGTACTGGAAACACTTAAAACATAGATGTTTTAATTTATTTTAAGATTAAAAGTACTTTAAATATAACTATTTAATTTAAATGATCCTGCTGTAGTATAAATAATCGGCTGAAACACGAAGCTGCAGTTCCTGTGACGTCCAGCAGGGGCAGCAGTGAGTTAGCTGCCCATGTTGCAGTAAACAAGCTTACAGCCTGATACACAAACAGGTTGGTCATTTGACCATTTAACCAAATGGGTAAATTTAGCCCGGTAATAGTAGGTGAGTGCTAGGCAACATCAAAATATGTGACCTCGATAAGAACCTTCAGGTGCTTAACATGTATGGGTGTTGCATGTTTGGTTGCCGAATTCCTGATGTGTAGGGGCAGTTCATGTATGCTGGTGATGTAGTATATGCACAATGTTCTGGAAGAGGCAAGTATAATGAGTAGAATGACAGGACTTCGAAGAAGTCACGCAAGGCTGCTTAGTTGTAATAAACTTATAATAACAGTTCTTTTACATTGATTAACCGAATTACTCATTGACTTTATTAAAACATAGAATTTATTGCCTTGACTTTTATTTGCAGTTCAAATGCAAATATTAATAACAAAGAAAGGAATGAAATAAACGTGCCTGTTCTGCCTTTTATAACTTAAACTGAATATTACGGTTGTAAACTGTCCTAGAGCTCCTTCTAGTGGCTGCTTTGTAATATGGGTTTGACTACTTTGGGAAAGAAAAAATGGCGGAAAGTGATGCCGTAATGTTATCGTTCTAAGCTGATACGGACCTTAAAATATTGTTGCCTTGGACAGGATATGTCTGTAAGTATGAGTGACTGTGACAAAGTGGCTAGGACAGAATTCATTTGCCATTCATCACTTGCATATATTGTTATTTTGTGTTCTGTTATCTTACAGTCTATCATAATGCTTTAATGTAAACACAGCACATGTAACCTTGGCTCTACATACTATCCCAGGTCTGTTTGTGGTAGCATTGGTTATATTCATTTCATCTGTGTAAATGTACTTAAAGCTAAATGTCACTTCATCATTAATTGATTTGGATCTTTCATTTGTTTATGTAGTTTGGTTGTACTTACCATTGTGTGTTCCTTTGAGCAGGTCCTATTGTCATGGTGCTGGGTCGTTGACCCAGCGTTTTGTGTTTTATGATTATTTTCCTCTGTTCTAGTTATTCTGATTTTGGTATTCTGTGTCCTCCCCCCTTGTGTCCGGTTCGTGTTGTAGATTTCCTGTTTTATTCTGAAGGTCTCTGTCTGTTGTCATTGTGTTCAGCTTGTGTCCTCCAGTCATCATGTGTATTAGGATCAGCTGTTCTTCCCTCCTGTGTGTGATTACCCGATTACCTTGTGTGTGTATATTTAGTGGGTGTCGGTCTGTGTTCGTTGTCGGCTCGTCTGCCTTCGTCTGCATTTTTGTGTTCCATGGTGTTTCGTTCCTGTCTCTGCGTCTCTCTGCCGCGCACCCCTTTTGTATGCTCTCAGTTTTGTTATTTAGTTCTCCCAGTTTTATTTTTCTTCAGTTTTGTCGTGCCTCACTGCTTGCTTGCCACTATCCCACCTTGTAAATAAACACCACACTCTTCATCAGTCAGCTGCCTGCATTTTGGGTCCTTTTCATTCCACAACACGACTGCTGCCCCAGCCATGACAGTACGAGCCGACCAAACATGGACCCAGCAGCATCCGCACCTTCCCAGGAGTTTCGGGAGGAATTAATTGACTCTGTTTCAAATCAAATTCAAATTCAAATTTTATTTGTCACGTACACAGTCATACACAGTACGATATGTAGTGAAATGCTTGGACAACTGCTCATGACCTAAAGAAAACAAAAAAGGAAAAGGCTATGA